AATTGGTAACAGGATATTCACATACACACACACATACACATACACTTGTACACACACACACACACTTGTACACACACACACACATACACACACACGCACCCACACACATGCACACACACACACCTGTACACACACACACATGCACACACACACATGCACCCCCCCCCCCCCACACACACACACACCCACCGGTGGCACCCACACACACGCACTGACGCAGTCTACTGTTAAACCGGGAAAACTTTGCGGTCTGAAATTGGGTTTTGTTTTCTTCGATTTTCCCTTTGGGTGTTATCTAAAAATGAGCCGTTGCGCAAAACCCAGTCCTGTTGCAAATAACTACTGCAGAGTGAGGAACTTCAATATCTTTTTTTAATATTCAGAAGTTGAGGGAATGAAAAAGGGAAAAGTCTGAAGAAAAACTTGACGAGGCTAAAAATTTCTTTTTTCGCGGCAATTACACATTCGCGAGTTTAAATAGCCGAAAACTGCTCCGTCTATTGCTGTATGCAGTACAGAATCCAATTGAAGAGATAAATCTCGAAAGTTTCCCATCGTGAACCAGTGCAAAACTTGATAACGCAAATATTTCATGCAGCAAAAGTCTCTTGCTTTACAGTAATGAAATTGACTCGACGTGCAAGCATTTCCAGGTCCAACTGAACGGTTTGTGTTCGCAAATTGTCAACTAGAGCTGGCGTGCACACTCCTCGTTTTAGAGTGCCGTAAGACATGTTCATACAAGGAGTCGCAAATTGAGCGATTGTCCAAAATTCATAGACTAACGAGATCATTATGTTAACGATCTTGCAGTATTCCGGCATATCCACACACAACATATGAAGCAGTAGAGTTGAAGAACAAACAGGCAAATTTGCCTAATTTCATGATATCGACTATTATGAAAAGAAAAATAGAGTGTAAAAGGCCAGCAAAGGAAATGATACTGAATAAAGTGGGTGATAAAGTGTAAAAAATTTGGATGAACTCACGCGATCCCGGAATTCCTGTCGATTATCCCGAAAAACACAGTACAAGAAACAAGTCTTGATATTGTACTTGGAGCACTTCAACTGACTAGTCCACAGTTCATTCATCGAAAACTGGAACCCTAACAATTTGGTGTCGCCCGCACATAGATGTAGGTACCGTGAAAACAACAGTACATCCTGCCGTGTGTGACCCGTGCAATTCTTCCTTGCCATATTTGAGGCCAGAAAAGTCCAAGAACAGGGAAATAGAAATTCAACCGGGTTTCGCAAACTTAGGACAGGTATGCCATGGCAAAATGTATGCAGAAGCAGATCCCAAACCCAGATTTTTGAGATTTATAGTGGTGTTAGGCCCACAGGTAATTACATGTAGTTCATATTCATTAGTTCATGCATTATTCATTTGGCCTGGGTAGCTACTTGCACGCCCATGTTTGCCATAGCTACCAAGGCCCTTTATATTGCGTTGCTCTCTCTTCAACTCTCTCTCTTCAATAATCTCCCTCTTCAATAATCATCATGTAGTCGTTTCGTTCATCCTGGTCTTAGGGGCCGTCCAAGGTAACCAATAATATTTTCAAAACGAAAAGTTTTCGTTTGGGGGTGGGTGGGTTTGATGGAGTTTCGTTTTGAAAATAATTATTGAATGGAGACGGAGAATGTCCAGTTACTTCTGGGTGTCGAAAATTGACATCAATATTTTATTGGAATTCGTTTTACCTGCAGAAAAGATGGGTGGGTGGGTGGGGGCTGAAAAATACTAAAACTTTTCGTTTTGTAAAAACAATCGGTAACCCCGGACGGCCCCTTAGTCATCCCGTCTCTAATAAATGTCGTTCCACCAACCTACTTGTTCCCGTTGTCAGTCTCTTGTTCGGACTCAACATTGGCGCCCAGCTTTTGCCGAAGCCCGCGACCCTGGGATTCTCGTGCTCTACCGCCTGGCATTCATCTCGTCACGTCAATCTCATCTCGTCGCCAACCTCGTCTCATCTCCAACCTTGTCTCTTCAATGTCAACCTCGTCTCGTCCATTTCCACCTCGTCTCGTCATGCAGGTCAGCTACCTTTCTCTCTTTCTTTTTTGTATGCGTTCCTTCTTCGTCAAATTTATTTTCGATTTATTTATTTCGTGAATTTTTTGTAGTGTGTGTGCGCGCGTGTGTTCATAAAATGTTAGTAATTAGAGGTCCGATCATGGTGAGCCACGCTCTAATTTTTGATGTTTAGCAGAAGTGCAACTACGCTATTTTTAGCCATGCAGGCAGTATCAGTAGGTTCCTCGTCACATCTAGCTTAGACTACAGGAACAATAATTGTAATGCATGATACTAGTAAACACTTTTGTGAGATCCGTGCGCGCGTGCAGTGTGTGTGCGTGTGTGTTTGTGTTTTTTTTCTCCCTCAGTCATTTTTTATCTTTTTCTCTCTTTCTTTTTTCTTTTTTTTCTCCGCGAGGAAGCGGCATTCTTTTCGTGGAGGGGTGGTATGTTAGGCCCACAAGTAATTATTACATGTAGTTCATATTCATTAGTTCATGCATTATTCATTTGGCCTGGGTAGCTACTTGCGCGCCCATGTTTGCCATAGCTACCCAGGCCCTTTATATTGCGTTGCTCTCTCTTCAACTCTCTCTCTCTCTCTCTTCAATAGTCTCCCTCTTCAATAATCTCCCTCCTCAATATTCACCATGTAGTCGTTTCGTTCGTCCTTGTCTTAGTCTCTAATAAATGTCGTTCCACCAACATACCTGTTCCCGTTGTCAGTCTCTTGTTCGGACTCAACAGTGGGTTTTGATCCACAATTCGGCCCAAATCGGACTTTCAAAAGCCAGTGGGACTGTAGTCGTCCTTATTACTTCTGTACGGGCCGGACATGGCGATAGCACCACTGGATCTACTAGCACTCCTACCATGAACAGTCCCCGAAAAACATCCGTTTTGAGTCTGGAACATTCGAAACATTTGATCATCACCATCATCTATGATCAGGAAATGTTAGTGCCATCATTCTAAAAAAGTTGAGAAAGGAATTTTGGAAACAAATAATATTATGACATGTCCTGATAACCCAAGGCAGCTGCCGGTAGCCCTTTCCCAAAGGTGCTCTTTTAATTCGCACTTAGTGCTTTTCGCGTCCCTCAAAATGTGCTGAAAAAGTGCTCTTTTTTCAGTGAAAACAGGCAAAAAGTGCTCTTTTTTCAGTGAAACATAGCCATGATACATGTTCAGATAAGCTGAGAAATGAACGTACTCCTCCATTTATGGGTCCACGAAAGGCAAAGCAGGAAGTAAAGTTCAAAAAACCCACTTTTTACAGCATTGTGTACAAGCTTCACCAACTTGTTGCCCCCACCCCCAAAAAGCTGCGTTCCAAGGCCCATCGAGCACGCGGAAACTGTGATCGCATGCATGAGCAAACAGATTTTAGCACTTTTTCAAAAGAGCTCAAAAAGGGCGATATTAACCAAAAAACGCAATAATGGGCGAAAGAAACGGGCTTCTCCAAAAAGGGCCAAAAAGGGCGAGCACCTTTGGGAAAGGGCTAGCTGCCGGGGTTTAGCCCTGGCGATCCAGAAAAATCACTCTCAGTACTTGGCAAGTGTGGGTGGGTCGTTTTCTATTTAATTTTCTCTACATTCTTGATGTTATCTTCAGTTGAGCATGCCTCATGATAATTTCCTTCCATACAAGAGTTCATTGTGTTTATTTTGCCAGAATATGAGGCTTGTTTAGAAGACCGCGGACAAAATTGGCGTGGGTGGGTCTAAAAAGGTGAATGCCAAGATGAAGCTTGTTGGCTGGCCGAGTTCATAGAGTTCAGCAGTGGTTCACCTGCGGTACAACAGTACATCATGTAGATCTACAGTACAACAGGTCTACAGTACAGTCAGTGTAGGCTACTTGATCAACAAGCATAATAAATAATTGTACCGAGCCATTCTCGCACAGTACAGCCTACAGTGCTACAAAGTTCAATACCAATGCCACGTACCTGTGGTACAGTACGAGTCCCAGCATACGAACCCTCTCCACTCTCAGCTCCGACTGACTTCAAAGCCAACAAGAGTAAGCTCCGCAACTGCGCAAGAAGTCCCAGGTCGAACCGGGCCCGGCTGACCTCAATGCGTCGCTTTCGGCCTTTACACGTTGACTAGATTTCCAGTAAAGAGATATGTGGGGAGTTCTCGGCCAGTCCAACGTGCTTCGTTGGCCAGTGACAGAAGTCGTCTTGCATTATTCAAATGCTGCTTGCTGAAAGAAGATCTTTTCCAAGTCGGACCTTGCCAGGAAGCTCGACTTTCAGAAGTCGTATACGCACAAGTTTGCTTGATGGATTTGAGTACAAACTGAATTTTAGAAAAGCCATCCTGTCAACTTTTCTATTATTGTGTTCACAAGTTTACCCTGCATGCGCATGGTAGACGCTACATGATGTAGATGTACATGTACTTCACTTTTGTGCTGTACCGTAGGCCAGTTTACTCCGCGATCCAACACTCAACGCCCGTCTAGTCTGTGGACCCGCGCTCCTGGCAAGGTTGATGGATGACCTTTGAACTTCATGACCCGAGTTCGCTGGGTAGTTGTCGAACATTTCGCCAGCGATTTCTCAGCTGCTGAGAGTGAGAACTTCTGCATCTGTGATCTGCAGACTCCAGTGCTTTTCTTCTCCTTCGCCACTTCGGGATGGTCCTCTAGTTTGCTACTCGGTGAGCCGGAGACAAACATACAAGTAGACTCCAAGACGACAACGTCTGTAGGGCCTTCCCTATCAAAATACATCGTAATAAATTCTACTACTCTTACTACTGCTCTCCGCTCACAGTCAACATGGTCAAGAGCGAACTAACGTTGTTACATGTACTTGTGGAACGTCGTGACTTGGCACTGAAATAGCAAGAGTTCATGAACTCTTGTTACGAGTTGTAGATCTACGACTCGTAGACTACCTGGCCGTCGTCATGAGGTCAGGCTGGTGCCGGTATCGGCACTATCGCTGAGTCCTCTAGCGGTCTCGGCCTCAACAACTTGCTGGGGCCGCGGGGATGACAGTCCATCTACGCTGTCGTACAGAACTCGTGCAAAGGGTTCGAATACGCGTATGGCGGCTTCGGTCTCGAACTCGTAGCAACTTTACAGAGGATTGAAGTTGGGAAGAGAAAGCCGACTTGATTGGAACGTCGGCAGAAATTATTTTGGAGGACGAGTGAAGCGTTGAGGGAGATCTTTGCTGGACAGAGTAGTGAATAGCCAACAGTAGAGGTTGCAGAAATTAGAAATTTCTCACTCCTGCTTGCTTGTTCAGTCCATGGAGTCCTGACGCGGTTTCTCTGTGCTCAGTTTTATACTTGTGAAAATTATTTAGAACATCGATACCAATATCTCGCCTGAGCTGTGTGCAACTCACAGTATTTTGAGAGATAAAATCACTACAGTATTGTGGAAATCGTACCTGCGCTGATCGCGAACCCACACTGGACCTACACTAAATGGGAGGCGGCAGTTTCCTGCGGCCACCACTGAGCTGAGAGTAGTAGTAGTGTGCGACCGTTGTGTTTGTCGGATCAATCTGTGTTCCGCCGGAGCTCCGCCGCTGATGCAGAGACTCCGACGGAGTGGCCATCCTGCAGCTGTGTCTGTCACAGCTGTTCCCCTCAGCTGGAGAATGCCCGCAGCCTGCAAGAGTAGTAGACAGAGCAGGATCGAAGCAACACGCAGGAGGTCATCTACGTCGGCGGTGATCTACCCCAAGCCGAAACGAAGGAGATTGCCAAGAGTTGAGTGGAGGTGTTGAACGGTGCTTGAACTGTTCGTTCACTTCGAAAACCGAGTGGAAGCCATTTGCCAGCTTTCAGTTGATCTAGTCCGGCCCGCGACTGACCTTCGACCTGGACTGTCGTACCGAAGTCATTCTACTTCCGGTGCTTATTGGAGAGGTCCCATACGGCTTGGAAGTGTGACAGCGCCAGCATAGCAGTTCTTGGGAACACGGGCCAGTCATGGGAAAGGTGGGTTCAATTCAGCATCAACGTTCGTACCATGCACAAACGGTCACGCAAATCTGTAGTCTGTACTGTGCACTCAATTCCTTATAGGGCGTGAGAGTAAATACATGAAGGGGACAACAAAAAATCAACACTGAAACGGTATACAGCAGTTCATGTTTGTTAGGTATGGCAATAAGTAACTTAGACTATGCAGTTGTGATCGTTTTCTATGGGCCAGCTGCATGACATGCGTCTACAAATGTTCGGCCCATTCAATTTCCGGCCTACCACTACCAGGGCTAAAACACATTTCTGCCGCATTCAATTTTCGGCCTGTACTACTGCTGCGACGCCATGTGACTGCTGCTAGAGATGAGCAAGTATGATAAGCGTGTGTGTGTGTGTGTGTGGATGTGTGTGCGCGCGCGCGCGTGTGTGTGTGCATGTGTGCGTTGCTGCTTGACTCCTTTCAGGTGCCTGCTGCGCGCCCACGACAAATCCTTTCCACGCTGTTTATTCTGGCCCTTTTCACATCGGTACAGCAAGGTGAGTGCTTGTACTGTACAGCTACTGTGAGACCCATCTTACAGTCCATTTCAAAACTATAGACGCGCATTGTTTTTGAAATATTTCAAATTTGGCTGGAACTTTTTGAGAATAGTTTTCGGAATATTGCTCAGGTCCGCTCCACAATTATTCTCATATAGTTTCTTAACGATTGGATAACAGACGCCCAATTTGGAAAATTTTATGCACAAAGTGATCACAGATTTTGTGTGGTATAGATGCTGGCATAACGGTTTTTGCCTAGGTGCGCGTCTATAGTTTTGAAATGGACTGTAGGCTGCATTCGGTTGTGGTAACTGGATCTCGATTCCCGTCGATCAGGTCACTTCGATCGGATGGATACAATCCAATCTGTACAACCAAGCGTACATGAAAACTAGAGTGTGTAGCTTGGGGCTTATTCTACTATGGGTGTCTGTCACGGCGGAATTCCGTGATTGCATCATATTTGGCGCAGATCTGAGGCGGGAAATGGTGCAGTGTGTACAACTGAGCTGCAGTTATGCAGAAGGAGACCTGCTTGAATCCTGCTTGTACGCACTACTAAAATGATGTAATCACGTAATTCCGCCGTGACAGCAACCCATCCGAGCTGCACACTCTGGTTTTCACATACTCTTGGCACAACCGATAATCCTTTTCAAGACCTTAGCAACCCCGTTGCTACAGCTTCTCCCATACTATTCCGTAGTATCTGTACGCATTATGGTGAACTCTTGACCTAGAGTAGGCATATTTGGAGTTTTGAGGAGACAGAACACAAATCAGTCCGTCTAGTCTTGCTCTGTGAGGTGGATTGACTGGATCCGAACCCGTGAGACCTGGATCCGGATTCGTACAGTCGAACATGTACGGAGTTGGCGAATCCGGATCCGTGATCCGGGGCCCACCATAGTCTAGAACATGACCTAAGACGACCACTCAAGGGACCTTCGAAATGCGGCGGTCTCTGTTAACAGGTGGTCTCCTAGTCCAGGGTCATTTGACTGGAAATAGCATCACCTGGTCCTGGTTACAGTGGTCTGATGGGACAGGTGGTCACCTTATCCGAGTGGTCGCCTTGTCAGGTTTTTACTATACTTATCTGCCAGCTTGCCATCCAGCAGCTGTGTTTGGCCAGCACTGGATCTCTACTAGACAACTATTATTTTTTTTTTCTTACGCACTCACCAGTTTTTGTTCACACGCACTCACAGCTGCCACATTCATCTACTGCTACCATTCTCAGGTACTCTGCAAAGGTTCACACTACACGCGTTATGCATAACCGCTAGCTGTGCTGCATTCTCACGCTTCTTTTCATTACTCTAGCTATATAACTGGTTGTTTTAGTGATTCTTACTATGTGACGATGTTCCACTGATGATGGTCACACGAAAACATTCTGGAATTGTTTCATTTTAATTGTTTATACATGGTTATGAGTGCACAATTGATATTTTTCATTGCTATTTTTTTCTTATTATTATTTTAAAAGAGAGGACCAAAAGTTTGCAAGTTATCTGTTTTGTCCAACACTAACAGTTATAAGCAGAACACTGACTTTTGGTCCTCTTTTTTATTTTTAATCCTTGGCTTTCCATCCGAGTTTAATCTTCTTATTTTGTTAGGGATTTCCCAACAGGCAATGTTGCCTTTTTGCTGGGAACCCTAAAATGCGACTTTGTGAGAGCGCGAAACAAAGCAGGCGACCCGGCCAGGCGACAAGATGGAGGCAGCGCATTCCACCTGTCGGCACCAGGATACGCAATGGAATGGAAACCATACCGGGAGTGGCAGGCAGGCAAGACAAGAGCAGTTGTAGCTTGGCCCCGGGTTGTGGCAGCAAACAAGCCCTCGCATTTCCTCAATGTGAGGACATGTCAGGGGCGCAACAGCCGCTCCGGCCGGTCCAGTTTGGGCCGGACCACTTTTTCGCCCGACCACGAAAAAAAGTGCCCAGAATGCAGGATTTTGAATCCTAATTTCAAAAATTTCACAGGGGACATCCCCGGACACAACCTCCCCCCCCCCTCCTGCTGGACCTCCTCCAATGGCGGTGTTACTCGGCTGCATGTCCCTGGTGTCTAAATCTATCTGTTTCCAATCCTCTTTCGCTCACATCCCCGCTCTAGGTGTTATCAAAACTCAAGATTCAGGCTTTCCCGATCAACGGGCACTCGTGAATTGCTTTTCCTAGTGATCGCCGTGCTCTCTCAGCCGAACCAATGTTTGGACGCTTGTATTCAGTCCTATGCTCGTGTTCGTGTGTGTGCGTGTTTCGTGTTTGTGTGTGTGTGTGTACATGTGCGTGTGTGTGTGTGTATGAGGGTGTACGTGTACGCATGCCTGCCGGTGTGTGTGCACGTGTATGTGAGTGTACATGTACGCATGCATGCCTGTGTGTGTGTGTTTTGTTTTGCTGCGTTGACAGTGTACTGCCAGTGTTATCCTGACGAGGCAGCTGCCTGTCACAAGAACGCCGTGTGCCGGCCCCCCGTCACCGCGGCCACACCCGATCCCGTCAGTGTGACGGCTGTCGATGGCGATAGTGCTGGCGGTGGTGAGGCTCGTGAGGGCGATGCCAACGACGACAACAGGGGTGAAAACGAGGGCGATGCCGGTAGTGACCCGGGCGGCAGCGTCCAGTGTGTGTGCAAACCCGGGTTTACCGGCAACGGGACGGAATGTGATGGTAAGCTGCCGCCGAACTACCTGCAGTAAAACCTGTAACTAACGACCACCCCTTGGGGCCAGAGAAAGGGGTCTTTAGTGGCAGGTGGTCCATAGTTAGAGGTTTGCACTGCACGACCAAAATTATGTGAATGTGTGAGACCGTCCGTGCCTGGCAAAGTGGCCTGTAGTACCAGGCTGGTCGCTAGTCACCGTGGTCTTTAGTTACAGGTTTTACTGTAGTACCAGGCTGGTCGCTAGTCACCGTTGTCTTTAGTTACAGGTTTTACTGTAGTACCAGGCTGGTCGCTAGTCACCGTGGTCTTTAGTTACAGGTTTTACTCCACTGAAAGGGACTGCATGTTTGTGTGCAGGCGAGTGCCCCGTATGGGTTCCTGGGTGCCCGTAACCCCCCCCCCCTTTATTCGCTCAAAATACAGGATTTTGCTTCATTTTTTGAAAATTTTCCCGGGGAGGCCCCCCGGAACCCCCCCCCCCCTTGAAGGGCACCGGCGCACACGCCTGTTTGTGTGCGCGCTGCGCTTTGCTACATCTCACTGAAACCCAGACTGTTTTCCTATGCAGACGTCCCTCTTTAATTAATCCCGCACTTTATAAACCAGCATAATTTCCAGCAGCCAAAAATATCCTTTTCGTGCACACTGCAGCAGTAAATCAGAATTTCTAATCCAGCACCCTCGGTAAATCCAGCGGAATTTCCGTATTAAACAAGAATAGTGCCAGATTATAGAGGAACCTCTGTACACCACCGCCCTCTTACACTCCCTTTCTCGGCCATGTTAGCATAGGACCTTTGATTATTATTCAAGCAAAATTGGGTTTGATAAAGGGTCCACGTCTCGAAATGTCCTGCCTCATCATCGTTTGCGCTTGTGTGGGTTTTTCCTCAATGTGCTGTGCTGCCTTTAGATGATAACGAATGCATGGACGGTAATCATCGCTGCCGCCTTCCTGCCGAGTGTACGAACAAGGAGGGCGGCTACTCGTGCGAGTGTCCTGTGAATCATATCAAGCACAGCGATGGCAAGGCATGCCTGCGTAAGCAAACGATAGTCAGCAGCGCGCGCAGTGTGTACGGTGTGCAGTGAGCCGTGCAGTACGTGCGCCTGCAGTGAGCGTGTCTGCGTTAGCAAACGATACGGTAGTCAGCAGTGTGTGCAGTGAGTGAGCAGTGTGCATGGCGCGCAGCGTGAATGCAGTGTACAGCGTGCATGCAGTGTACAGCGTGCATGCAGTGTACAGCGTGAATGCAGTGTACAGCGTGCATGCAGTGTACAGCGTGCATGCAGTGTACAGCGTGCATGCAGTGTACAGCGTGCATGCAGTGTACAGCGTGCATGCAGTGTACAGCGTGCATGCAGTGTACAGCGTGCATTCAGTGTACAGCGTGCATGCAGTGTACAGCGTGCATGCAGTGTACAGCGTGCATGCAGTGTACAGCGTGAATGCAGTGCACAGCGTGAATGCAGTGCACAGCGTGAATGCAGTGTACAGCGTGCATGCAGTGTACAGCGTGAAGGCAGTGTACAGCGTGAAGGCAGTGTACAGCATGCATGCAGCGTACAGCGTGAATGCAGTGTACAGCATGAAGGCAGTGTACAGCGTGAAGGCAGTGTACAGCGTGAAGGCAGTGTACAGCGTGAAGGCAGTGAGCAGTGCGTACGATGTGCATTCATGCAGTGTACAGCGTGAATGCAGTGTACAGCGTGCATGCAGTGTACAGCGTGAAGGCAGTGAGCAGTGCGAACGATGTGCATTCATGCAGTGAGCAGTGGAGTGCATACAGTGTGCAGCGTGCATGCAGTGTACAGCGTGAATGCAGTGAGCAGTGCGTACGATACGCATTCATGCAGTGAGCAGTGCAGTGTGCAGCGTGCATGCAGTGTACAGCGTGATTGCAGTGAGCAGTGCGTACGATATGCATTCATGCAGTGAGCAGTGGAGTGCATGCAGTGTACAGCGTGAAGGCAGTGAGCAGTGCGTACGATATGCATTCATGCAGTGAGCAGTGCAGTGCATGCAGTGTGTAGGGCCTGCATGCAGTAAGCAGTAAGCCATGTGTATTGTTCGCAGTGTGTGTGTGTGTGTGGAGTGCAGGGTGTGATGCAATGATCAGTGCGTGCAGTCTGTACAGCGTGCATGCAGTGAGCAATGAGCAGTGTATGGTGTGCATGCAGTGATCAGTGTGTATGGCATGCTGCAGCGTACGTGCAGTGAGCAGTGTGTATGGCATGCAGCGTGCATGCAGTAGGGGTGTGGTCACGCTACACCTACCACTGTACTCCCTGCACCACTGTTTGTCCCACGCATGGTAGATCTGCCCTGGGAATCAATAAAAAGAACGGATATCATGGGCTCTAAATTTCCAAAATTTTCAGAGGAGCCACCCTAGTTCCACGAGTGAATTGTTCTTCAAGTGGATAACTGTACCGCCCTATGGCTGTGTTTCATGAAGCGGTTCAAACCGGGTTGCGTTCAACCCAGGTCGAGTTCCAACCCGCCATGAACAGAGACTGACTGGCACGTTTACATGACACATTGCGACAAGAGTACATAACCCCCCCCCCCCCCCCAGAGTGTGCAACGCCCGATCCAGCTCTGCATAGGGTCTTGGTCGAGCGTAATCGAATCTTTGCGTCGTAATACCGTACACATCTGAGGGGAACCCGGGGAGTCGCGGGTACTCTCGGATCAAAAACAATGGTGTCCTGCCTCGAGACCGGCCTTGCGCTGGTGTGAAGTGTACGCATGACATCAGAAGATCCGATTACGCTCGACCAAGACCCTATGCAGAGCTGGATCAGGCGTTGCACACTCTGGGGGATTATGTACTCTTGATTGCGCTTGACCGAGGTTGAAATTTAAACCCTGGCTGACGTCAACCCTCCCCTTGGGAAAGAGTTGAAATCCAGAAATCGTGCTACCGTACTTCTGTGCGCATCTCGCGCCAGGTTTGAACAGCACTGCACATACAAATTTCGCGCAAAAGTAATCCCGTGACCATACATGGCTGTAGAAGTGGACTTTTGGTGGCATAAAAGTAATTGACTGGCGTCAATTGTCTTCATGTAAACGCACACCTATTTTTCCATCCCACGGACGTTCAACCCGGTTTGGCCTCGATCCAGGTTAGTAATTCTCATCTAAACACAGCCTAAAATACCTTCCGGGCGCCCCTGTGCAGTGAGCAGTTTTCCTGGACTTGATCAGTTACCCTTGTTGCGTGTTTCACTGTTTCACAGCGTAGCACTTTTCGGCTGTGTGTGTGTGTATGTGTGCATTCGTACACACGTATGTGTATGTGTGTGTGTGTGTGTGTGTGTGTGTGCATCTGTATACATGTGTGTGTATGTATGCTTGTATGTGCATGTATATTTGTGTGTGTGTTCGCGCACGCGCTCGTGTGTGCGCGTGCATCCACACACGAACACGTTGGCGATGACCGTGATCACAGACGTAGAGTCCATTGTCATGCTGACGCACAGTTCCAGCCCGGGCATAGTCGACGTGGGCATACACTCCACCGTCACCCTGGTCTGCAGGTTTCGAGCCGCCGTACTCGACACGGTCACCTGGGCCGGTCCCCTACAGTCGCTCGAGGCCTCCGATGCGACGGTCGTATCAGAACGGGTGAGTGCTTGGTGGTCGTATTTTAAATTTCCAGTGCCAGGGACCTGGCATGTTTCAGGTGTAATATAGAGTTGGGTGACCAGCTTTCACTTCACATACATCTACACTGCATACTCTGGTGCCATTTAAGTGTGATTTTAATTTACGCGCTTGGTTTCTGGACCGAAATCACCGAAATTAAAGTAACACCCGAAAATATTACTTTTGCGGTGTAGGAGCTGCAGCCGGTCACGTCCCACAAGTGCACATGTGTACATGTATGTTCAGGGACGGCGGAATTGGTGCGTCGAGTCGGCCCATGGCCGGCCCAAAACTGTGTCCGCCATTGTGCTCAGGAGGTCGTATGTACTCGCTGTGCCATACACACCATGGACGACTAATTTGTTATGGTATGGCCGGACCAACACTTTGTCCACCAATCTGCTGAGGAGGTCATACGTACCCGCTATGTCATAATATCCATACATCTTCACTCTCCAAACGGTCTCTGGGCTACATTCCTGAAGATGGGCCTTGCCCGATAATTCGAATAATTTTAATATCTTGTACGTTAAGGGCGACACTACGGTAATGAAAACGTGCTTTCAGCGTTAGATTCAGAATATCTATCTGAGGCTGGGTGTATCTCGATTTAAAATATTTGAACAAACGGCGAGGAGACAACAATTATTTTGATAACCGCAATCAGTATTAATAAATACAAGCTGGATCGACATTTGTGTACACTGTATTCATGTATTGTACGTTAAGGGCGACACTACGGTAATGAAAACGTGCTTTCAGCGTTAGATAATGCATACAGTGTACACAAATGTCGATCCAGCTTGTATTACTGATTGCGGTTATCAAATTGTTGTCTCCTCGCCGTTTGTTCAAATATTTTAATATCTCTTTTTCTTTTAGTGATTGGTGTAGCCCAGGGAGTCGTACTCAAACTAGGGAGGTGACACGGCACAGAAATCCGTGTCACAGGGTTGACTCGCACCCGTGACCCCTCGTTGTTATTTTTGGAATAGTTCAGTCCAGTCCAGTCCGAAAGGTCATACTCGGATCGACTCGCCTTCTGTGCTTCACCTCCAAGCCTGCCGCATGAGTGTCTAGTTTTTGAAATTATTGAGGCAGCACATTTCGTTTACAGCCCATCACTCGCCAGTATTCTTTGAAAGACTACCAGCAATTTTTTTAGCTCCTGCCATGTCCGAACTACTTGATAGCAGTGATGGCAACAGCAGCAGTTATGAGACGGCGTGTAGTGTTGCGGTAACCGTTCAGAACTGTTCAGAGTCGTATCCTAGGTTAATCCGAATACTAAAAATTCACCCAAATATTAATTAATTGCACATAACACGAAGCTGGTTTTTGAAAATTGTAAGTCGTGTATCTGCCCCATTTCTTCTTTATGACTTGCACAATACACCAGTCTTCCTAAACAACACATTTATAGCAGGGGTTAAGTACCATATAAGAGAAGTACAGCCAGTGATGTTGTCATGTTGAAATACTACAATTTGACACAAATTGCACATAGCACGAAGCCAGGTTTTGAAAAATCTAAGTCGTGTATCTGCCCCATTTCTTCTTTATGACTTGCACAATGGTCCAGTCTGCCTAAATAACACATTTATAGCAGGGGTTATGTACCATATTAGAGAAGTACAGCCAATGATATTGTCATGTCTAAATACTACAATTTTTGACACAAATTACACATAACACGAAGCTGGTTTTTGAAAATTGTAAGTCGTGTATCTGCCCCATTTCTTCTTTATGACTTGCACAATACACCAGTCTTCCTAAACAACACATTTATAGCAGGGGTGAAGTACCATACAAGAGAGCTACATTGTACATCTAGTCATACTGTCATAAACAGCCAGCATTTTTCCTGCAGCAGTCACACCACCATCATCATTATTTCCAGGGAAATCCTCTTACATTGTCAGCTCCTACGTCGTTAGATACAATGTAGGGGGCTGTAGGACTGGCTCGTCAAAAATAGAGAACCTGAACAAGCGTGCTCGGGACGTCTCAGCAATCGCAGTATGCCTGAGCACTCCAATAAAAACTTGATCAATGGCAAAATCGTTCGCCACAGAAAAGTCATACTTTGCGGGTCTTGCGTTGCACGCTTGGAGGTGAAGTACAGAAGGCGAGTCGATCCGAGTATGACCTTTCGGACCGGACTGGACTGAACTATTCCAAAACTAACAACGAGGGGTTACGGGTGCGAGTCAACCCCTGTGACACGGATTTCTGTGCCGTGTCACCTCCCTAGTTTGAGTACGACTCCCTGGTGTAGCCCAGAGACCGTTTGGAGAGTGAAGATGTATGGATATAGTGGATGGCTACAGTGGAGTCTTCGCATTTTGAGAGCTATGTCATAATAATAGTAATACTAGCTTTATGAGGATGACCCAATGGCTGACCGCCTATCGTGGGCTCCGTCGCATTGAAGAACGATGGTACAAGAGAGTGCAGATTCACACCATGGACACACGACTATGCTACGGCCGGGCCAATCAGAAACCATTTCCGCCGCCAGCACTGATGCGTACTGTTTTTTCCCTGAATATAAGTCGCACCTTTTTACGCTAAACTTCATTCCTAACAAGGGGGGGGGGAGGACTTACAATCGAGCATGACATACTACTGAAGTTAATACATGTGCATCGAAACGATATGACATAGACCCAGAAATAGGAGTGCGACTCACAATCCGGGAAATACGGTATGTATGAGCAGTTCGTGTGCGCCTCCATGTGACGAATCTTAACAAGACGCATGTGTGCTTGCTGTGTGTTTGTGGCATGCAGATGTCGGGCAACATCTTCGGCAGCAACCTGACGCTGACGTCCGTCGCCAGTATCGACACCGGCGTGTATAGCTGCACTGCTAGCAACAAGGCCACGCAGGCCACGCACAGCATGCATCTCCGCGTCATCACGAACCTGATCGTCTCCACGGCCGTTCCCGAGTTCACGACCGATCAGGGCGACTCGCGGCAGACGGACCTGCTCTCCGATTGGACGGTGATCATCGTTGCCTCGGGGACTGCCGCCCTTGTCTTCGCCGCCGTCATTCTCTACTTGGCCACGCGCGTCAAGAGCGACAAGCCACCCGTCACAGCAGCAGGTATGTTGTTTTTCTTTCTAATCTTTATACTCGCTTGTTGTTGTTGTTGTTGTTGTTTTTGCTGTTGTTGTTGTTGTTGTTGTTGTGGTTTTTGAATTCTTTATTCTCACGATGGCTCAATCGCCAATAAGAGATAAATTTACCGTATTTCCGGCAATATAAAGCCATGGCGTTATATCCGAATATAAGGCCACCCTCACTTATAAAGCCATGGTGTTATAAGTGAACAAAATTCAATGTGGAGGAAGTTGCATCTGGCTGCTGCTGGCGTTAACCCTTTGTCCATGGTTCGATTTCGAACCATGGACATTTTGTATGCATGTGGGCGCAGTGAAACTTTCGGTTCTCGGCCAAATCTTGACCAAATCCAACAATCGAAGGGTCTAGTGGTAGAGAAAACTCTCACGTATCGCCCCGAACAGGTCCGAAGTCTCTCCGATGAAGTTTGAGTGAGCGGCGAGCGATCCAACATTTTGAAATTTCTGTGCTGCGTGCTGCAAGTCAGCAGTGCGTGAAAAAAGGGATTTTCCCAGCTTCACGACAGGCGGCACGTGCCAGGACCGGCGTGGCGCGAAGTCACGGTAAGCTTCTACTCGAAAACATTTGAACAGGTCCAAGCTAGATTCAGTGAAATGGCTGCAGGAGACCGACTTCGTCTCAGATCTGGAGCTGGACTCGCGTTTGGAGCGCGTTGTGGCGGACAATGAGTAGTGCTCTTGGCGAGTTTGGGCTCATTGTATTTCTCTCATCAAGAGCTTTCCAATGAGCCCAAGATCTTCAAAATCGGTGAAGAAGAACCAAAGTTATGTTGGAAATTGAGTGCGCATTTTCGTGACTGCCACAAATTCTGCGGAAGCAAAAAGGTTATGGAATCCAAAGGGTTAAAGGTGAGTTACATTCTTTCAGTGAACCTACAGTAGCGGTGATTCTCTCTGCATGTACCCATCCCCACTGTCACATGCCCTACCGCCACCGCACCTTCACACAAGTTTGTATGCCACCTTGTCCACAATAGGTTCAAAATTTGAAATTTTCAGGGAAAATTGAAAGTACATGGATGCTCGACATGAATGTGCAACGTCACCGTACGAGTACTCGAAGTTCATACTCTGCCGATTTTTTTGCATGTACGCGTCTCTCATTTTTAGCGCCATGGCGTTAAAACCGAGTCTATTTTCTCCAAAAAAATTGGTCCAAAACAGCGATGTTTCACCTATAACGCCATGGCTTTATATGCGCGGAAATACGGTATGAGAAGGTGAGATGCTGTGGGTGGGGCTGTGGGTTATGCAGTTGGAAAGTGATTTACATCACTTTGAATTTTACAAGTATGGGAGAGGGTGAGCGCTGCAGGAGCAGCAGATTGAGTTAATCAGCAGCGAGCAGATTTCTTGTTTGAAAGCAGGTCGGGAGGAGAAGTCGCCAATGCTAGCAGGGAGGGCATTGTAGTATTCTAGGGACTTGTACAGTGGGGAGTCTTTACAGCGATCGGTTCTGGATGGTGGGAGGTGCCAAGTGCGTGTGTGTCGAAGGCTATTATTATTATTATTATTATTGTGGAAGAGAAAAAGACATATGGATACGAGTTAAGAGTAACTCTCCATCACTGTAACATGATACTCAGGGTCCGCACAGCCCTTGAAAACCCTAAAATATACCTAAAAAAAATTCCCAGTAAAGAATATACTGAAAAAACCGTAAATCTTGTTAAAATACATGGTTTGTCCTGAAATATCCTTGAAATTCAGTTTTTTGGCGGCGTCAGTGTACCCTGTGATGTACAGTCTATGCCAAGCATGCCGCTGTGATCAACTGTTGTGTACGAGTCGTACTTCAAATTCACAAGCACACGCGAAACGAAGACTGCGCGGCCTGCTCGGCTTGATCTTGCCGTTCGCGCCTGCACTGTACGAGCGTAGTACTAGCTGCATACGTGCTACATACAGTACTAGCAGGAAGTACGGCAGTGGTCCTGTGTCGACGGGTCGAAACTACACATTTTTGAATTTTTCGAGTAACTACTTTAGTTGCTCGCGCTCTTCAAGTGGTAAGTAGTTTTAGCCTAGCCTCTACTGGCTCTTCTTTTTGTAGTTCACCGCAGATTGAGTAGTTCGCTGGTACATGGTGTGGATTTTCTCGTAACTCGCCGTGCGTCGGAGCAGTTGTGGCGGAGATGCCTCCGAAGGGAAAATGTCATTTTCGTGACGCTTGGCTGTCAACACCGGAGTTTCGCACACAGACATACATTAGAAGTTCAAGTATATTTCGGGGCACAAAAAACCAAGATTTAAGGACTTTTCAAGGATATTTTCAAGCGACCAACCGTACAGCAAACAACCGCACAGCAACTATTAAAATATGAACAGCACGTAACGTTACTCTCCATCACTGTAACATGATACTATATACAGTCAGAAAGTGCAATAACTAGGCACAAAACTGACAGAGTACTGAAACATTCGACGTCCTGACACCTAGCTTCAACACATCTCCGTAGCGCTAACCGACAGCCTTCCAACTTGGAAGGTTCAAGGTTATGGAAAGACCAAAGAGGGGAAGGCAAGCGCAACGAAAACGAGCAAAAGCTACAGTCCCAACGGAACAAAGAATGTCGATTGTTACTGGACGATGACGAGACCAAGAGCCTTCCAAGTTGGAAGGCTGTCGGTTAGCGCTACGGAGATGTGTTGAAGCTAGGTGTCAGGACGTCGAATTTTTCAGTACTCTGTCAGTTTTGTGCCTAGTTATTGCACTTTCTGACTGTATATAGTATCATGTTACAGTGATGGAGAGTTACTCTTAACTCGTATCCATATGTCTTTTTCTCTTCCACATTTATTTATGGCTCAACATCCGAGTTTCAAATTATTATTATTATTATTATACGCATTCCCGCGGCAGCGTCAACCAAGCAGTTATGCTTGATCCACACGTTCGCTTATGCTGGACATTGAAACAAAGCAGATGTAGACAGCTCCTAGAGAATGGGGCTCTACAAAACCAATGATCGAAGTTAGTCCTTCAGTAACATGGAGCGTCATAAAATTGGTCTCATTGGAAAAATGTCATCACTATTGTCTCCTCATGTAGCATCATGGTCAATGGGTGGCCAGATAATTATACGTATGAGGTTCAGTTGCCAGATAATTATTAAAAGATTCAAATAGTAATATTATTTATAGAATGGTTGTTATGAGTTTATAAGGGTGCCATGGCTGTTTCTACTCGTGACGAGGGTGTGCACAAACACTCTTCACCAGCGCGTTCCATGCTGGACGGTCCACAGCAATCCGCTCCAGACGGCGCAAGTCCTCAACACTCCGCAGGTGCCCATTGTTCGACTGGGACAGATCGGTGTGGAGCTTTATTGGTAGTGTCACCCTCGGCCTCCCACGGTACCTCCCCTCGGGTGCCTGAAAGTATTGCTCCATGCTCAATCGTGCTGGCGTGTCCTTACCCAGGCGAAGCACATGCCCGAATAGACTCCAGCGTGAATTTCGGATCAAGTCCGACACCGGCTCCACTCCACATCGGGCATACAACGCCAAATTACTAATCTTCTGTGGCCATGTGATGCCGAGAAGTGACCTGAGTTGCCTTCTATGGAAAGCGTCCAGAGAGCGTTCGCTAGCAACCGTCAGGCCCCAGGTGCCTGAATTATAGAGAAGTATCGGCATGATAAAGGCGCAGTACAACCTCATACGCAGAGGCTCTCGGATCAGTCCTCGGCGCTTCCAAAGAGACCACATGGATCGGAAGGCAGCCTCGGCCAATTGCCTGCGACGTGTCACATCCTCAATGTCGCCCAGGAGTGAGCCCAGCTTTCGGGATGTCCTCCAGCGCTCGTCAATTCTGTCTACAGATCGACCCAGCTCTGTCCACTCAGTTTTGGTGTTGTTGACTCTCAGGGCCCACTGCCCGAGAGTGTGGTCTATGACCGGTTCGAGCTCTGTGAGCCATTGACGACTAAGGTTTATGAAATCGGTGTCATCTGCGTAGACAAGCTCAAATGGAATGTTGATGCTTTGATCCATTGGCGGTCTGTTTCGTGCCACCTGGGTGCTCCTCAGATCTCTCAGTGCTGCCTCTAAGTATATAACAAACAACACCGGGGAGAGAGAATCACCCTGCGGGGTGCCAATTGTAGTTTCAAGGGACTCTGATACTGCCCTGCCGATGCGTACCTGCAGAGTTGTGTTGGTCAACAGCACTCTAACCAGCCGAACATCATCCTCCATCAGGAAAGACTCAAGAACTGTCAACAGTTTGTCACGACGTATACAGTCGAATGCTTTGGACATGTCGATTCCAAGAATGGTCATTTCCTGCCGATAATGCTGACATGTTGCTGCAAACCATCTGTGGCTCCAAACAAGGTCCGCTGTAGATCGGCCTGCTCTGAAACCACTCTGCGTCGGAGACAAGTACTCACCGACTTTCGACGATATTCTTCGCAATGTAATAATGGAGAGCGTTTTGCGTAATGACATAAGGAGGACAATAGGGCGCAGATTTCCAGGTGGTCCAACCGTCTTTCCTGGTTTCTGCAACGGTACCAGTGTGCCACATCCCAGGTCAAGGTGCTGGTGAGTTGTGAACATGCTGTTGAACAGACAGGCAATGTGAGGTGCTAGGTTTTCTCTTCCATATTTCAAGAGTTCGCCTGGGACTCCATCTGGGCCCGGGGATCTTCCATTATTCAGTTTTTTCAGCGCATTGGAGACCTCAGCAGATGAGATTTGTCTTTGGAGGCTTCTTGGGCGACCGGTGAATGGCTCGACGCCTGCATCCACATTCCCACGAAACTGGTCATGGAAGTGGCTCCGGACAGTAGATGCCGCCTCCTGGTCATCGGCTATGAAGCGACCCTTCTGGTCATGTACAATGGGCTTTCGGCTTGGCTTTCTGGTCATCAGCTGGACTGCTTTGAACATCCGTGCTCCATTCTTCAACCTCTCGACTTCCGCTGCTCTCTCTTGCATAATTTTCTCTGCATTGTC